CAGCGTTTCGCATATAGATGTTCGTCACTCAGGTATATCCACTAAAAATCAGTTGAAGTTGGTATTTATCTGTCGCTGGCGAGAGATGACTCACGTTCTTATTGTAGGTCTGTGGGCTATAGTGCGTGAAGAACCAAGGAGAGACCGCAGCCATGTACGATGCACCCATAGGATTCAAGGCATTGATATACTGTTCATCGGACGCCGTAGCTCCAATATAAGCTGCAAGCGAACTGAGTGCCGAACTTGCAAAATTTGGTACCGAACTTGCTGTGAGTTGTGTTGGCCACCCCGAATTCCACTGGAACGAAAGAGAGTGAGACAGTAACAGCATAACAATCCATCACACTTACGTTGAACATTCCATTGATCACACCATCGAAACCCTGGAAAGCAGAGGTGTCCACGAAAAAGGAGGGGACAAAGTAAACAGCATTTTCGCCTGACAGCTGCTGTAAAAACTGCGTCGACCATCCTGATTGAACTGAACCTTGACCAAAGTGGCAAGATTCCCCCGAGAAAGTTGAGGCGAAAGCACGACCATTGTAGATCAAGTGGTTGGGATGCGAGGCGTATGTTGTTATATAATTGCGGAGCGTAGCTGCGTCACTGGCACTGTCACAAGGGAGGGATCTAGTGGCGGAGATGAAGACAGCACTGCGGTGAAGAACGGAGGACGTACGTCATGTCAAACGACATGAAGAGCTTGAAGCCCGTCCCCGATTGCTGCGCAGCCTGGAAGCTGGTCGAGTATTAGCAAGAGTCCACAATGTAGTATGATAGGCTACTCACGCACTTGCCACCTGTTGAGGTTGCCAGGAATCCCTTCCTACGTTGAGTGCGAAACCATCGATGCCATTCTGATGGGCAAGGTGGATATCGGACAACCAGTTTTGCAGGGTGTATGGATAGGTATTTCCGACCATAAAATGAGCTACAACATATTTGGTTGAATCTCTTTTGGTTAGTGATTTGGAGGCCATAGTATTGAATACAGGGGCGTTGCGGCCGTTGCCGATCGGGCCGGATATACCGAAATCAACAAGAAAGAGCAAAGCCACCAGGGCAAAGACGAGAAGCATGGTAAACGAGTGGCACGAGTGACAGTGAGCCTTTCGCAGAAAGCTCGAAGAACAGAACAAACTTGGGAGCAACGCGGGTTGCCCTTGACAATGTGCCATTGTCTTCTTATACTCCCAGCTTGGAGAATACGAACCACGTGACCTGACATTGTGTGTGTGTGTGATATTAAAAGCGGACATGAATCAAGTTCGCGGGAAGGTAGAGGGACACTCGAAAGCAACCCAGTTATGTCGGCAAGATGAACTTGAGCATGTATGTAGACTAGACACAGAACAGGCGGAACAGAGCACAGCTATCCGTCTCTGAGTCGCCCCTCGACGAGCACATTGGATCTCGATAACGCGCCGGAGAGCGCGCACGCGCGAGTACGGTTCGTGCCTGTTGTTCTTGACAACCGTTTTCCGTCATTCTTCCCAGCATGTTGGTTGCCTTTCACATATTCCTTATTTGTTCAGCCACCTTCTAAAGACTCTGAGACACAAACGGACGCACCCTGTATACACAGAGTTCTATGTCAGAAGGCGACTAGATCTACCATCTGCAACAGCATAGTCTTGCAGTTTGTACACTTCCGGGACAAAGTGACAACATAGTCAACCGAAGAACGAGATGGGACAGTAACGCCCACCAAAACACTGAACTCCAATAAGATGGTCAGAGAAAACGGGATAATCTCTGCGAGAGACCTTGCAAGCAAGGTAATTACCGAGTGTTCATCAGACATCGTCATGTCGTTCAATGACAAACTCATCTCGGATGGTTTAACATGTTCGAATGCTGGTGAACGTATCCATACTATGCAAGATTGTCTAGTCACATGCATCTGCACAAGTCTATGTGATCTCTACCCACCCCTTAAGCTTTTGAGTCCACTGCCGCCGCCGCCCCTGTGTCGCTCTAATCATCACATGGTCATTTCATTTGCCAAACAAAAGCGGGATGCACTTACGGCGGCGTTCTGAACCTTTTCATCACTCGTCGCGTTGGTAGCCTCATCTACTCCGACAGGTGCGACCGGAGTCGGGTGCGACTCAGATTCCGGCGTAGCGTCGGTTGACGAGTCTGCCTGGTCTTCTGCCTCGGCAGTCGATTTCTCGACAGTCGTCATTTCCGCCTTCGCTACCACTTCTTCCCGTTCCTGCGCACCCTTCGGAGAATCGGCTTCCTAATAAAATAAGGAGCATGCAAGAAGAGTACCACAACATGACTCACAAAGGCCTTCTCCATTGATTCTTTGACCTCCTGACCAGAAATCTCCGTGCCCTCATCATCGGCCATGGGTTTGACATCCTCTTCGCGATGAGATTCGATCTGTTGCTACAGAAACGAGTGTCATGTCACTGCAAGTAGACCGATGGACGAATGAATGCCACTTACAGCCTGCTTGTCTTCATGATGGTTGTGCTACAAATGGGAATTAGGTTGTTTTACAGTCTGTCAAGCCAAGTTGTCACTTACACTATGAATATCGTGTCCATGAGAACCCTTGCGAGCCGACGGAGACACAAAGTACAGGAACTGTATAGCAGGTGGTATTGGATAAACAACGCGTGCACGTACTTATTACTCACCAGAGGACCAAATACAAGTGCAGACCCAATCTGCAAAGGAGAAATACGCTGAGCAATCTCATTCTGTGGACAATAGGAGAAAACGCACTATCCACGGCTTGTCACTCGATGTGCTCCCATGACCGGCATGCGACTCAGAGCTCATCATGCGTCGGGTGAGCGCGGCACGGGGTGCGCGAGTTGCTGTGTTCAAACTGACGCGCGCAGAGTAACGCGAAGATGACGAGAAGAGGCGGGGTGCAGTTCTGGACATGACGGACAAGAAGGGAGTGATGATGGAAGATAAATAGTGGTGTTGAGGTCGAACCGTGCGAGGTCCACAACAAATTTCGGTGACGTGAACCAATTGAGTACTGTACTTTGTGTGAACTTGAGCGGAGAAGACCGGAAACGTCAACTACCCCTACTAATCGCCAGAGTTTCCACAACTGCTGGCTTGCTACTACCACTTGTTCCACGTCCCCCTGTCGACAGGCGTATCATCTCGATACTTCGATGTGAGGAAACTCAACGAGGGACGGTCACGAATGACCAACAGGGGCTCGACTAGAAAAAACAGCGAGGATCGTCAGCGCTCGTGTCACTCGTACGTGCATGGGGCAGCGGTATCACCTCACCACCTTCCACCCTTCATTTCAAACTCTCCCTCGCTGTCGTCGGTCGGCGGGTCGGGATTGCTGACAACCATGACCCGTCTTCTGTACGTGCGTTGCATACTCACTTCTTCATGTTGGTACAATTGATACTGCTCCCAAATCCAGCTCAGTCTAGGTATGGTTCCCCACACCGTCGTTGTTCTCACCTTTGGCGGTGCCTCCCAATGGCATGGTATCTGCGTCCCTTGCAGTTGCGTTGTCTCTCCCAAGTGTCTCCGGTTGCTCCTGAACATGTGGTCCATCTCCTGTAACCCTCTCTCCGCTCGTGTCGACCATGATCTCGGAAACTCGGCGTAATGGATGTCGCTGTGATTGCGACTCTTCCCCGGTTCTTTCCATGTCCTGCGCTGCGTTACAAACTCCATTGCTAGAGCAACGAACTTCCTAAACAGTTGCTGGGTCGACCTTACAAGTGAGCTACGGTTCGTTGAAAATGCAGCACGTCAAAATCCTCACCAGCACCGACATTTTTTCGGTTCGTGGTTGCACTGACCACGAGGACACCCGTTGCTCATGCAACACAGGGACTTATGTATGCACGGTGGGCGTACAATTGCCGCCTATCAATCGCACAGCAAGCCAGTCCATACCCTAGTACCGAGTTCCTGATGCATTTCTCCTCCCCTCCGTGGATTAATTTCTTGACTTAATCTCCATGCCACGTAAGACAAGTTTTGCACCTCTCCGACGAGATAGTTATCCTGAAAGGGTAGCCGGTCAGGAAGGTGCATGTCACAAGAAATATTTCTCTGTACACGAGGGATCCGTGCATGCAAGGTACTGTTTACATACGTTTCCTCAGGAGCAAGTGTCCCTCCGAACCTTCATGCACATCGGGCACGTTGTCCCTGATTCATTCGATCCCTCCATCTCTAACCCACTACCTCTAGTTATGAAAAACTTTATGACCAGCATATCCGAGTATCAGTTCCCATCCTTGCAGGCCTCCTTTCCATGCCGTTAAAACAATATTTCAGTAACTACCAGACATATTGTGGATTAGCATGTAACAATGCCACCACAGGATCGAATGGGAGACTGGCCAGCAAGGTACCTTACACCTCTCCTAACAGTCCAGGCGACGAGTTCGGTAATATCTAGTTTGAAAAGCTGACACCCCTACTCGCTTAATTTGCACAGCGCTGGTGATGTCAACTCCGAGTCTTGGTACGTGGTATCCTGCAGGTACCAGGGTCTGCGTTACAGGGAACGCCGCATCCGCATCTTATTCAGGAGTTATCATCCCTGTCAATATGAGTACTATGACAAGGCGCTAGCCGGATATTGTAATTCACAGTTTGGGCTGTACTATCATCATTCGGGATCAGAATGGATGCCCACGGTGACCAGGTGCGAACAGTGTCTTTCGACTCCATTGCTAGCGAGGGATGAAACGGTAATGAATCGTGGTACTGTATAATAGTGTGGGTGTTGGCATGTCTGCATGAGGACTGTCACATGTCATGTCTTATCGGCGCAAAGTTATTGGGTGCCTGGCGTTTTTTTTTTTTGACAGCAGATATCCAGGAGGGAAGTAAACGCCATGGTGCTACAACGTGTGTTCGGTGACCAGTGGGTCTTTGGAAGAAAGTCGTCATCGATCGATCTTCATCATCGCTGTTGCATCATGTTTCCGTCCGACAGGCGAGGTCTCTCACTCTTGGTATTCCCGCGAGGCGATCACATGCAGGCCCGCCTAGCTCAATTGGCCAGAGCGTCAGACTTTTAAGGCGGGTGTAATCCCTGCAGTGATCTGAAGGCTGCGAGTTCGACCCTCGCGGTGGGCTATTGGTTTTTCCAAATAATTTTTTTTAAAGTCCCGGATCTTCTTCCAGATCAAATAGTGTGCGGTTCATACACATAAGATACATTGTGGCTAGTTAGGTGAGTAGTCTAAGAATATCGTACAATCATCATGATCGTTGAACGACATACAAACGAAGCAGAAACGAAAGGATCTAGAACAGGAAGTGGACCAATGTACATGCACACACGTAACAATCATGCGTCTGCGTCGTTGAAAAGATGGGCATATAATCATGACTGAATGTGTGTTATATCATGGGTGGGTGTTCAGGCCCAGGGAGAATCTAGAAGCAATATCCCAAGAAACGATCAACTAAGTAATTGCGCGGATAAATAAGCAGATGAATGGCCTGATTGAAAGTCTCCCGAAATGTGGCTTCTAACGACGTCCTGCGTATTGCCATGCTTCATGTAGGCTTATAATAAACCGTAGTGAGATACTAAAAAACCCATCAGTAAGTGACCATTCTGTTAGCTGAGACATAAATACCTTCTGTCGATAACGCGTCGTGCTCCCGACAGCGAGTACACCATTACGGATCGCACTCGTACTCAAATGATGAAGTACGACATGGGACGGCACGGGCAACACGCTGGCGTCATCTGACAGTCCAGCTCCATCGAGCCCGAGACGAGCGTTCGCCAGTGATGAGGCTGCAAGGTGGGTTACGTCTGTGCCACTCGCAGTCATAATTGGGATGAGACGGTGCTCATCCTCCCCAGCTTTACCCTCTTTATAGATATCCCGTGCGAGCGTACTAGTCATTCCAAGTAGCGATCGTCCCTGCTTCCGCCTATGCTCGCGTTCTCGTTCTTTTTCGCGCTCCTTTTCGCGCTCTCGCTCGCGACCCCTGGACGGTGGGGGTTGTCCGACTTTAACGTTCAGGATGAGCTTGTCCAGGTGTCTCGGAAGGACAGGGGCCGGTGGAATATTTGGCGCAGGGACTTGGTGGGTATTAGCATAGCCTGACTGGTCATATTCTACAGCAGCCGTGTAGGCAAGGTAAGCTTCTTCCTCGCGGGCGGCAGCAACAAGTTCAGTGGGGATTTCATCTGTCCACTTGGACGATGATCTCGTGGCATCCGAAGAAGAAGGCACGTCGATCGTGGAACCTTGGGTGGTGGAGGTTGTGGTTGACCAGAACGAATGGACTGGATGAGGAGCGGACTGCTTCGGAGGAACAGGCGCAGATACGCGGTGAGGCGGTGTCAAACCAGAGATAGGGACTGCAACGTAATTTGCCAGGCTCCCTTCGTCATCTACGGCTGTCGGGAGGTCATCGGCCAAGCGCCATTGATCATTGACAATGAAACGAATATGGTGTGTTCCAGGCATGAGCGAGACCCAAGTAGACCACGATGTATCCGCAGGGGGGTCGCTATGATGCGAGTCAGACGGACGAGCAAATCGATCAGGAGAGACGTACTCTGGTTCCATTTGTTGGCGACCCTTCCAATTGTCGTCACCTGCGCGGGCAAGGACGACGGATTTTCCACCTCCGCGCCAAGTAATTCTGACGTTCATAGCTTCCCTTGGTTCATCCGAGGAACGATTGGAGGCAGGTTGTCCAGATTCGACTAGACTGTTTGTCGTGGCGGCCGCAAGTTCTTCCTCGGCCTTTTGTAGCGCGAGGGGGATTGTCGAATGAACTGTCTCCTGAATGAACACCGGTCGATCAGGATGCGTGGGTACTTCGATCTGGCTCTCTGCATAGATCTCTTGTATACGGGGTTGTGCGGCAGCCTGGGCGCGAGAAGCGAACGAATGTGTGGAATTGTATTGAAGAGGGGCTCCTCGGAAATAAGGGCTACCGCGATTACGGGGATGATGTTGATGGTGAGGTACTGGAATGTGAGTTGAGGGTGGCTGCGCGAGGAGTAAATCCGACGAGAAGTTTGAGGCATCGGCTTCCCGTGCAAGATTCACTTGGACATTCTGTTGCCTTCCACGAGGAGAAGTGCCCGTATTTGAAGCATTGTTGATGGTGCCATTGTTAGAAACTGGAATCGGAATCGGGATTGGGGAAGTAGTCCTCGGTTGCCGACGATAGGATGATAAGGGAGATGAGTTGGCAGAATTTTGGTGGGAGTGTGCAGGAGTGAGGGAAAGAAGGGCAAGGTCTGGCAGCTCAAGCGATTTTTTCTTTGTACGCAAGGAGCGGTGGGGTTGATTGGGGTTCGGAGAGGGCGATTTGGAGGATTGTCTGCGACTTGGTGAATCGATTTGTTTGGTCGGAACTGATGATGGTCGATTTTGGTTCGCGTTCGAGGATGTGTTGCCCATCGTGTAGATCGCGTCGCTCGCACAAAGGTTCGTCTACGGCTCACCCTCTTCGTCGCCAACAACGAACTGGATGGACGTAAAAGAAGAGTTTAACCCAATGAGGATCCCTCACTCCCCCCTGATAACCTTATTATTGCAGTAAATTATTATTATCATTTATTACGTAAAGATAACACTCCCTTTGCCAGCGGCCCAGCGCGTCGTGTGACTCGTGTCTTCTCGGAGGGCCTTTTGAGTTACTCTTCTAGTGTTTTCGAGTGAGGTTCATGGCCAGTTTCAGCCCGAGGAGGCAAGTGGCCAAATACACATCATCATCATCGCTCATGTTTCAATATCAATGTTCGGAGCCAATGCGTCACTTAGACTAACACCGTTTTCATGGCCGACAATGCCGTTGCCAGTGACACGCCTGAAATTTTTATACAGTCCTTAAACTCTCCGATTGACGTCGAACCCAACGCCGGGCTCCTAATCCCCGAGTCCAGAGACGGTTTTTATGGCTACACTGACGAAAAGAGCCTGCAGCAAGTAAGTCGTGGCCAACAGGGTTCAGTCAGCGCTACTTAATACCTCCAGATCGAAGAAAAGAAACTGGCCCATCGGCGCACATCTGATGTATCTACCGTCATCTCCGATGGCTCTTCCTCCGTTCCAGGAAATTTTGGCCTCTCCGCGATCCGCGAGGCCTTGCGAGCCAATGAACAACAGAGCAGTACATCCCCCCTTTTCGAAGGCGAAGACAAAGTGCGCAACGAACCGCAGGTGCAATGTGCGGATCTTTGCTTAGATCCGAAGAAGAACTAACTGAGGTTCAATATATGCAGTGCAACCTTCATTTGTCACCCCAGAAATGGCACATACCTTCAAAATGTTTAGGCACTGCCTCGAACTGCGCGACAAATATATTGCAAAGTCCTTGCAGAGGCTCGGCGACAATCCCAAGGACCATGACGGTCACTTCAATGGAATAGCGGGCGGCTTTGCAGGCGTATCTGGCGTTCAGCCCGATGTCGACTTCGCCAACGCTAGAGTTTCCGAAAGCCCATACAAACCATGGAAGATATACCCTAAGCCACCCCCTCCACATTGGAATTTCAGTGCAAAGCACGACGCCCCAGCCGCCGACGGTCATCCCACCACAGAAAACGATCAATTCGATTTTTCAACTTGCCAGATCCCGGGTTCGCACCCATGGGAATTCAGGATCGATGACAGGGGCGTATACCAAGTATACTCTACCGCGGCAGGTACGCAGGGAGATTCTTGCCTATTGTATCAGCTGACAACGCACCACCGACCTCAGACGAGGAACCGATGTTTGATATCCCATCCATTCGGGAATATTTCATCGATCTCGACCATGTTCTCGGGGTCATATCCGATGGTCCGGCCAAAAGCATAGCATACCGGAGACTCAAATATTTAGCAAGCAAATTCGAAATGTACAGCTTGCTCAATGAGTCCCAAGAGTTAGCAGCTATGAAGGTAGACAAATGTTATTTACATGTAGACCCATACTTATTTCGCGTCTTTCAGAGCGTCCCTCACAGGTTAGATTGAGCTCCCAATCTATTCAGTATCATTGATGAACAGGTGCCTTCAGAGATTTTTACAACGTGCGCAAGGTGGATACTCACGTGCACTTGTCGAGTTGCATGAACCAGAAACATCTATTACGGTTCATCAAGGCAAAGATGAAACGTAGTCCCCATGTATGTCTCGTTCGCGCTTGCTAGCCTGCGGGCCTAATGCCGATGCCCTTAGGATGTTGTTATATTCCGCGATGGGGCCGAGCTGACGCTTGAGCAAGTTTTCCAGTCCCTTAAATTGAGTGCCTACGATCTGTCCATCGACACGCTCGATATGCACGCACACCAAGACTCATTCCACCGGTTTGATAAGTTCAACCTTAAATACAACCCTATTGGAGAATCTAGGCTTCGGGAAATCTTTCTCAAGATTGATAATCGTATTGATGGACGGTACTTTGCTGAGCTTACTCAAGGTATCGTTTATTCCTCGCATGATCCGGTACTCAGGTCGCTAATCATTTTGTAGAGGTGATGACCGATGTAGAGCAAAGCAAGTACCAGGTACGCATGCCGGTGGCATACTCTCTCATCACACTCACTTTTATAGAACTGTGAATGGAGAGTTAGCATATACGGCAGATCGGTGGACGAATGGGACAATGTTGCGAAATGGGTTATCAACAACAAGTTATTCTCGCATAATGTCCGCTGGCTCATCCAAGTCCCACGCTTGTACAATGTTTACAAAGAGAATGGCGTGATTGGAACTTTCGAAGACGTTGTGATCAGTAGGTTGCCAAACACTTGGTCTCATGTTTCATGTTCAAGATTTGTTCAGATCTATTCCGCCCGTTATTCGAGGTCACTAAAGATCCAACATCGCACCCGGAACTCCATGTTTTCCTGCAGCGTGTGGTCGGCTTTGATAGTGTGGACGACGAGTCAAAGGCGGAACGCCGAATTCATCGCAAGTTTCCCTACCCTCGTCTCTGGGACACCACTCAGAATCCCCCCTACTCGTACTGGTAAGTTCGCTTACGAAAACCCTTCCTGACCGTCTGAAACTCCTCATGTTAGGATCTATTATATGTATGCCAACACGGCCAGTCTCAACCACTGGCGGCAGGCACGAGGTTTCAGTACGTTAGCTTATTGGGTGTGATTA